CATGACTGGAGTATTGTTAGGGGTATGCAATGTACCGGTGTACAGACCTATGTTGCTCATATTCATGGTTGTCTTAGTGTTATCATCACCGTGGTAACCAACTACTGTACCAAACCCTAAACCCTAAACCCTATCAAACCAACGATGATCAGAATAAAGCTTGTCCCGCACCTCCTGCAGATCCTCGCAAGCATGATAGCACCTCAATTCCTACATGAGGCTGTCTTGGCCTGAAAGGCGTAAACTCCTATTTGGGGTTCAAGGGTCTCGGCTTTTAGGGCTCTTGGTCAGAGCTTTAGGGTTTATTGGCCTCATGAAACCGTATATCATGAACTTGCCCACGACCAACACGTAGAGCCACTCGCAAACCCAGCCTTCAGCCCTGAAACCCAAAGCCCCGAGCCTGCTTTTGCTCTGCGAACCCCACAACCACTCCGACGACTAAAACTCTAAACCCTAAACCCTAAAACCCCGAACCCTAAACTTCTTATGAAATCCTACCCCCTTAACTTATTAACCCCTAAAACCCTAAACTCTAAAACCCTAAAATGCCCTAAGAACCCTAAAACCCTAAACTCTAAAACCCTAAAAACCCTAAAATGCCCTAAAACCCTAAAACCCTAAAATGCCCTGAAACCCTCAAACCCTAAGCCTGCTAACTTGCCTGAAGACCGCTCTCGGCGCCATGTGCAGGGCGTTTGGACCGTCCAGCATCAGGAAAGCTCTGGCCTTGCGAGGATGGGAACTTCAGGGGCAGCTCATGGGTTTCATAAGAGGTTTAGGGTTTAGGGCTTTAGGGTTTAGGATTTTAGGGTTTAGGGTTTTAGGGTTTAGGGTTTAGGGTGTCATAAGGGTTTTAGGGTTTAGGGTTTAGGGTTTTAGGGCTTCGGATTTTAGGATATAGGGTTGTATAAGAAGTTTAAGGGTTGGGGTTTAGGGTTTAGAGTTTACGGTTTAGGGTTTCATAAGAAGTTCAGGGTTTAGGGTTTTAGGGTTTAGGGTTTAGGGTTTAGGGTTTTAGGGTTTAGGTTTCATAAGAGGTTTAAGGTTTAGGGTTTAGGGTTTAGGGTTCTAGGGTTTAGGGTTGAAGGTTTCAGGGTTCAGGGTTTAGGGCTGAGGGTTCCTTTAAAGGGTACTACAGGAGTTCTATAGGTTTCAGTTTCAGTTAAGGTGTGGGTGGGGTGTACGGGTGTGAGGGCGTGGAGTCTGTTCAGGGGTGCTCGAGGGCTTCAGAAGGG